CCGCGAGCCCTCCTGCCATTGGGTGCGACGACCAGGGTGGGGCGGGGTCTCGGTGATGATGCTACCAATTGGCTGGAGTTTGTGTCCATTCCGGCTAGGGAAAAGGGGGTGGAAACCCTGTCCAGCTCCCGATTGGTTGCCATCGACCGTCATTTGGGGAAAAGAGGCGGCTAGGGCGCGGAGGGGCTGGTTTAGTGGGAGGAATTTGAATATTAAGGATTAATGGGCCCTTGCGGATGCTGGGGCAAGTGAAGGCCTCGACTCCGCACGCCTGTTTTGCGTGGCCCTCCTGGGCCATTGACCCGCTGTACACAAACGCACAAACTACGCTGCTATAAGAGTTTCACCGCACCTGTATTTTCTCGGTATCACCACCTTCACTAGAAGCAGCAAAGTTGCCTACCCTGGAGCCTGACGTTCCAGACAACGGACCTTCGTTTCAGGGGCCTACCCATTGCATTCTTTCATCTGAGCCTGCTGTGTGCCGTATGCTACACTCTCATGGGGTCAGGGAATAATTAACAAATCACAGCCCTGGCCTTCCTGAAACTCTGGCGGGAGAAGACGGTGCATGCCCAGGCTGCAACGAGATCTGTCATTGTTGTATCAGATGGTTTGGTGGAGGTGTGGAGAAGGGGCAATGAGAGCACAAAGGAAGCAGCACTTAGCTCTGCCAGCTCTAACACCTGCTAGAGAAGGTGATTTGGGAGCTAAGATCCAGCAATTCTGTGTCAGAAAAATAAGAGTGTGGGAAAAGTTTTATCCAATGGGGTGTGCAGGACAGGACTATTTCTCAAGGCAACCTTAATCTGATTCCACCTATCATCCAATTCATCCAATGCTCCTTGTACTGGTTCCATGCTTAACAAGGAACCTTCTAATTCTGATTTGCCACCTCCCCCCTTCATTTATTAAATACCTGTTATGTCAGGCACTGTTCCAGTTTCTGGATTCACAGTACCAAACAAGACAGTAAACTAACATCCTTGTGGCAAAGATTCATACTAAGCATACAGATAAGTATATAATATAATGTCACATAGTGATAAGGGCTTTGATACAGATAAAGCAAGGGTGAAGGCGGTGCTATTTAGATATCTATAGGCTTTTGCCCTCATTTTATTCCCCCATATGGACATCTGGGGAGAGAACATTCCAGGCAAGTTCAAAGGCCCTGAGGTGATACTATGCGGGGCATGTTGGGAAGAAAGCTTACGTGGCTGGAGAATAGTAGGGTGTGCGGTTGGAGAGGCAGCTAGAGCCACCATGGGAACTGGGAGCTTCTTCTGGGTTGAGAAGCCCTCGGAGGATTTTGAACTGAGAGTTAACATCATCAGATCCATGTTGTAGGTGCAGTGTGGCGAACTGCCCGTGGAGAAACAAAACTAGGAACAAAAGCCCAATCAGGAGACCCTGACAACAGTCTAAGAAAGGTGATAGTGGCATTAACTAGGGTGGTAGCAGTGGAGGTTCTGAGATGTTGTGACACTCAATCTGTATTTTCAAAATCGAGCAGAAAAGATTGGATGTATAGAGAAAGAGAAGAAACAAGGATGATTCCTGAGTTTTTCACTGAGCAACTGAATGAATCGGTGCCTTTCACTATAATGGGAAAAACTGAAGGAAAAGCACATTTTTAGAGGTACATATCAAGAGTTCTGTTTTGACCATGTTAAGCTTGGGGTGCCTATTAGATGTGCAAGTGGAGGTGTTGAGTAGGCGTTTGGGTTAACAAGTCAACAAGTTGAGCATCCAACTCAAGAAGCTATAAAAGAGGGGCGCCTGGGTGGCTCAGTCAGTTAAGCGTCTGACCTCAGCTCAGGTCATGATTTCAGGGTCCTGGGATAGAGCCCCACGTTGGGCTCCCTGTTCAGCAGGGAGTCTGCTTGTCCCTCTGCTCCTCCCCCTGCTCGTGCTTGCTTGCACGCGCTCTCTTGCTCTCTTTCCCTCAAATAAATAAATAAAATCTAAAAAAAAAAAAAGCTATAAAAGAAACAGCAGAGTAAACCTGGAGAAAATAGAAGAAAAATAAGGATGAGTAGAAAATGATGAAACAGAAACAAATGATAGGATTGGAACATCAAAAGCTGATTTTTTGAAAAGCTGAAAAACAAAAGCCAGCCCTTCAACAACCTAAATATAAAGAGAGGAAAGACAAATTATATTAGAAATGAAAAAGAGATGCAACCACAGATACAATAGATAGTAGATAAAACACAAATTTTTAAAAAGGATATTATAAACAACTGTATGTCAGAAAATTGGAAAACATAAACAAAATGAACAAATTCCTAGAAAAGCACAGCTTACCAGAACTGATCCTGGAAACATAAAACCTGGATAGACCCTCTATGACTGCAAAGAAATTGACTATGTATTTTTAAAAATATTTTATTTATTTATTTGTCAGAGAGAGAGAGAGAGCGGGCGCATGAGCAGGGGGAGCAGCAGGCAGAGGGAGAAGCAGGCTCCCCGCTGAGCCAGGAGCCCAATGAGGGACTTGATCCCAGGACCCTGGGATCATGACCTGAGCTGAAGGCAGACACTTAACGACTGAGCCACCCAGGGCTCCCAAATGACTATGTATTTTAAAAATCTACCCCCTGCAAAAAAAAAAAAAAAAAAAAAGGCTCAGAGAGCTTTACAGATGAATTCTACCAAATTATTAATGAATGGGTAATTCCAACCACGCACAGAAAAAAAACCTCTCTAAACTTATTTTATGAGCATAATAGAACTACTATAATGAGCCAATGAAAGCATGCCATAGGATAAGTAAATAGATGTAAAAATTCTAGACAAATAAACTGAATCCAGCAGATTATAATTATATATCATAACCAAGTTGAAATTTTTACTAAGAATGCAAGGATGGTTTAAAATTAGAAAATCAGGGGTGCCTGCGTGGCTCAGTCGGTTAAGCATCTGCCTTCGGCTCAGGTCATGATCCCAGGGTCCTGGGATCGAGCCCTACGTCGGGCTCCCTGCTCAGTGGAGAGCCTGCTTCTCCCTCTCCCTCTTCTGCTGCTCTGCCCACTTGTGTTCTCTCTCTCTCTGTCAAATAAATAAAATCTTTAAAAATAAATAAATAAAATTCGAAAATCAACCTTAACAGATTTAAGGGGAACAAATTATACGATTATTACAATAGATGCAGGAAAAGTGTTTAATAAAATACAACACCTACTTATGAGAAAAACAACAACTTAGAGAGCTATGAATAGAAGGGAGCCTCCTCAATCTGATCAAAGGTATCTATTACAAAACTTAGAGCAAACATCATATTTAATGGTGTTAAGTGGGAAAAAAGTAAGAAACAGAACAAGATCTATGGTGCAACATCATTCATGTAAAATAAAACACATGTATCCTCCTCTGATTCTCTTTGAAACCTCATCCTTGGAGTTTCATCATGAGAAGAACCCATTAGACCCAGTAGAGAAAGACCAATTCCCTGGTTTTTAGGATGCAGACATATAGATACAGCCAGTAATAAAAAGCTGGAAAATGTAATGAAAAGAAAAAAAGATTCAACTCACTCTGGCTACAAAAAATAAAAAATGGCTGGGAATAAACTTAAGAAATGCCAAAAACCTATATTTAAAAACTATAAAACTTGACTGAAAAACATAAAAGAAGACCTAAAAAGAAAGAAAGAAAGAAAGAAAGAAAAAAAATTACCACAGTCCTGAAAGCAAAGAGTTACATAATAAAAATGTCAATTCTTCATAAATCAATCTGGAAATTTTTTTCCCCAAGTCAAAATCAAGGAGTTTTTGTGTATTGTAACAAGTTAATTCTAGATTGGGAAGAGTAAGTGTACAAGACTAGAAGTCAAGACATTTTTTTTAAGATTTTATTTATTTGACAGAGAGAGACACAGCGAGAGAGGGAACGCAAGCAGAGGGAGTGGGAGAGGGGGAAGCAGGCTTTCCGCCAAGCAGGGAGCCCGATGTGGGGCTCAATGCAGGGCTGGATCCTAGGACCCTGGGATCATGACCTGAGCCGAAGGCAGACGCTTAATGACTGAGCCACCCAGGCGCCCCTAGAAGTCGAGACATTTTTTAAAGAGAAAACCAATGAGGAGGATCTTGCTAAATTCCTTAGTTTGACTAAGCAGGACTTAAATAATACAATTTCACTTTTGCCATTGAAAAGTAGAAAAATGTACTAGAGTTTAAAGTATTCACTAGTAGAATTAAAAATGGGTCATTTAGGGGCGCCTGGGTGGCTCAGTCGGTTAAGTGTCTGCCTTCGGCTCAGGTCATGCTCCCAGGGTCCTGGGATCGAGCCCCACATCAGGCTCCCTGCTCAGCGGGAAGCCTGCTTCTCCCTCTCCCTCTCCCTCTCCCTGCTTGTGTTCCTTCTCTTGCTTTGTCTCTCTCTGTCAAATAAATAAATGAAATCTTTTTTTAAAAATGTGTCATTTTAAAAAATGGGCTATAATTTTTTTTTTAAGATTTTATTTATTTATTTGACAGAGAGAGACAGCCAGAGAGAGAACACAAGCAGGATAAGTGGGAGAGAGAGAAGCAGGCTTCCCGCTGAGCAGGGAACCCGATGCGGGGCTCGATCCCAGGACCCTGGGATCATGACCTGAG